CCCCAAAACCCCAAAACCCCAAAACCCCAAAACCCCGATTAGAAGAACTCTCTTTAAGACTTGTTATATGAATTTATAAAATATTTTTAAAATAAAACTCCATAGGTGCCTGGCTTGCTCTAACTCTTTAGAAATGTTTGCAAATAAGTATACAGATGATGATGAGATAGAGGAAGAGATTACCGACCCCTTGACCATTATTAATAAGGAGAGGGACATCCAGAGACTCCTCCTGAGCAATAATAAGTCTATGAGGCCAGATCTATTGGACCGGTTGAGAGCAACAGTTAGTCCTTTGATTGTTAATATGGCTCTCAACTCAAAGAATTTGACAAATGTGGTACTGAAGAAAGTCTACGGGATTTATAGGAAGCCAGTTAATACCAATCTGCATTTTGTTGATAAGAATACCTGTGTTTTCCTTGTTTCAAATCACCTTGCAGTTCATAATTTACAGAGTGATGTGACTCAGTATATCGAACTGAGCACGAATATCTATAATCCTACTTCTATATTTTGTACCCAGTGCAAAGAGGAACCACTTGCAAAAAGAGGCAGCCTAGAGGAGAGCAAGGAGGACTCTGGAGCTGACTTCGACAATCCTATTTCAACAGTTCCAAGTCTTTTTGCCTACGCAGAAGAATGCAGAGTAGCAGATGAGATTCCAGCTAATCAAAAATTAAACATTAAAACAATAATCACCAAGACTAAAAAGCTTAAAACTCCTTCTTCCAGTTCCCCATCTGCAGGGAAGGGAAGTCCAAGAGCTCAGAAGGTAGTGTATGTCGCTAATGTGACAATTCTTCGGCTTTTTGACAGTCAGCCTCCTAAGAGTTATACCTTGTCTCATGCTTTTTATGAGAAATTTGATGTGAAACAGATCTTCATAAAGGCAAAGGAGAACCTTGTTTACACTCTCTGTGAGAATGAGGAGCAGTGTCAATTCATTACAGTGTGGAACTTCAAAAAGCACCTAATCTGTTACAAGCAATTGCCAAAATATGTTTGAAAATTCGTAGTGTACCCTCACAAGGCAGACTACCTTCTCATGCTAGGAACGAACTACTTCAAGTCATGGGACATTAACTTCACGAATAAATCTATTAAGGAGAACAGTAATCCTCTGATCACGATGAGGCTTGAGAAAGAAAACGAATTCGTGGATCTCGAGTTTATAAAGGGTACAGAAAGCTTCATTCTTTTGTCAAAGACTGGTAACCAGATCTTCGTCTTTGAGAAGAAGACCCTAGTCAACCAGCTCGCTAACTATAAAGAAACCAGTGCTAAGGAAGAGAGTGAGGAAGACTCCTTCGTAGAGAAACTAGACTTCAGCGAAGACGAGGAGGAACGTAAAGGAAAAGCAAGGTTCATAGGCGCTAAAGGCGAAAAGATCAGGCTCAATAAGGGCCACGATGCCTCTATTAAGGATAAGATCGGCGGTCATGGGTTTTTGAATAATGAAAATGCCCTCTCAGAGCCAGAGTTTGAGTGACTTGTGGCTACTAATAAATATTTGATCATTGGTATGAAGCAAGGGTATATTATTGTCTTTGAGAAATCAATCAAAAATGCAGTTAAATTCGTTGGGAAAGTCAGACTTGGTGAAAGATATATAACAGTTAAGGAACTATGTCTAAATAAATCAGAGGATATCCTTGGAATAACTGCTGTCTGTCCTTATCAAGTAGAAGAATGAGAAACAACAGAGACTGAAAACAATGAAAACATGTCTAAATTTAGTCCTCCTGATAATAAAGATCCTGAGAAAACTAAGGATGGAAAAACTTTCTTGTTCACTCATAAGAAGACTATTAGCACCAAGAAGGAGTATAAGTTCAAAGAAAGAGTTGAGATATTATACGTTCCTCTGAAATCCTTAATTTCTTCTCTCACTCATGCTCAATTCAGAAAAGTGTTTGACAAAGGAATTCATAATGGATGCATCTATGACATGTCAGTGTGCAGAAATAAAAGCGTCCTCGTCTCTTTAGGAGAGGACGCAGTCAAAGTGTTCAACCATTCTAACGAGTGGACAACTCATAATACATTTGAATTTGAGGATCAACCATTATGCATAAATCTTCACCCATCAGGAAGTCAAATAGCAGTAGGATTCAAGACAGGGACCAGACTTTACCAGCAGTTGGATAATGAGCTTAAACTGTCCTTTGAGAAATTCGGAAAGGCTACGATTACTATTGCTTATAGCCATGGGGGACACCTCTTAGCAGCAAGTAAGTTCTAGGATTTAAATTTAATAGACAGTTCATGATACATCGATATTATCGACCCAATCAGACTACAAATGCTTTACACTCTTTGGGGGCATAAAGGTGTAGTGAGATCCTTGTACTGGACCCCTGATTCCAAATATTTGGTTAGCACATGTAACTGAGGAGGTATCTTCTTCTGGAGAGGAAATTTCAAAGATTTTGGATACAATAAAGGTCAGGATGAGATAGAGCCTGTCAGTTCATTTTATGATGAGACATCATTCTTTTATAGCTGTTTTTATGATCAGAGCTTTGATTGCCTGATTACACTCACTTCTCACTCAGTCCTAAAAATATTCAGAGATTATGGCAAAACTCTGTATCATGAGGATCACCTTAACGGCTTTACAGCAAACTGTATGGAATTCTCTAAAGAACTTTCAATAATTGCTCTCGGAACTACAGACGGATGCGTTATTTTCAAGAGTTGGCCAATATTAGAAGACCCAGAGCTGAACAGGACTTTCTTGCTAAATCTAGACACACATTCGATCACAAACTTAAAATTCTCATCATGCTACAGGTTTCTCTTTGTCTCGTGTGATAATGGGAATATATACTCCCTGATATGATCAGCCTCAGATAAATTGATCAAATTCCCACCTGAGATGGACTTTAGCAACCATTTCGAGGACAGTGCACTGCAGGTTCTCCAAAAGCGAAGAGAAGTGAATAATTTTAAGGGGTTTTCTAACACAGACAACCTTGCTTTGATCAATAACTTCACTCTGTACAAGGTCAATGACAAAATCTCCAAACTTCAGGAACAGATCAAGACCTTAGTTGTCAAGTACAAGGAAGAGCTCAGGAAAATTATCAAGCGGTGTAAGAAGCACAAGAAGATGATCGAGGACGAACTTGAGTCTGAAAAACAGAAGCAAACCAACCTTTATGAAGAGACTATTGAGAAGAACCGGGCTGAAATCACCCGTCTCCAGAACCAGTTAGACAACGCACAGAAAGCTCATGATGAAAAGACACAAGAATTTGTAGAAAGCAAGGAGAAGCTACTTAATTACGTCCTTCTAGGTAAACATTCATCCTTATTGTTTTAGAAAATGATGACCTTGAAAGAGAAATCCTTAAGCTAAATGATAATATCATCAAAGGTCTCAATAAGGAAGAAGCAAGACATAGAGAAATGATCGAGGAGCTAGTCAAGAAATACGAACAATCCAGGGAAAACATGAAAGACGAAATCACCAGTACAGTCAAGAAGCTCAAAGAAAGCGCTGGATACTACGAAGAGGTCCTTGGTGGTGCTGAAGAAGTCTACGAACTTGAGATTGAGTCCAATGAGAAAACTAAAGAAAAACAAGATGCTCAGAGTAAAGCTCTTACTATGGAGTCACAGGTTAATGATACTAAATATACCAAACACCTGCTGAGCATTGAGCATGAGAAGAACGAGAAGTTAACTCAGGATTGCCATAATGATTTGGTGAAGGAAAAGGATTTCCTGAAACAAATTACTGAGAAAATTTCAAATACTTTGGAAAAGACAGAAAATTGCCAGAAGTTAATTGGACTGAAGAAAATCCATATTGAGCATTTTCAGAAAGAGAAAAATAATCTTGAGAATTTGATCATTGTTCTGTCAAATAGGATTCAAGAGCTGAGCGATGAAACCGAGCCTTTAAGGAATAAGAAGAAAGAGTTGGAGAATACAGTCAAGAATGCGTACAATGAGCTTATACATGAGTTCAATACCAACAAGCTTGAGGATCTCAAGGTAGAATCTTATGACAAAAAGATCCGTGTGCTGAAGGAGACCATCACCGTAAATACCAAACTTCACTCTTCCATCCTTACCAGGATGACTCAGGTCTTAAGAGAATTGCATAGAATTGGGCAAACTGCAGAGCAAGTGTCAGCTGTGTCAGGAAAAGTCACGATCATATTAGAAAATCTGAATATTTTAGAGAATGCAAAAACATCGAAAGATATCGAATCAAATCCTCTGAAATTTCCAAAAGTGTCTACACCTCCTTGGAAGACTTGTAAGGATAAGAATGATATCAATATTTACACCCAGAATGAGTTATCCAGGCAGAGGGATGATCTCCATAAGCAGATAAATGAAGAAGTAAAGGCTCAGAAGAATTATCATAAAAAGAAGGAAATGAAGAAGAGCAAGAAGATCCTTCAAGACAATGTTAAGCTTCTCGAAGAATTCAACTACCTTAATTTTGAAAATAAGAAGATTAGAGACCACCAGAAGTTGATAGAGATGTTCATGGAGACCGTCCTGGGTAAAAATAATTACAAGCGCATGTTGATGTCTATTGAGAATGATGCTATAATGGGCAAGCCTAAGAAAGCTCCAAAACCAATGAGACACAAGAGGAAAGCGAGTGGGCATCAGCCTAATGTCCCAAAGCTTAATGGAGAAGATGCTAAAAATAGTAGTAGAGGATTTGATCCAAAAACGTTCAAGGCCATTTTGGAAGAATTCGATAAAAATAAGCAAAATGTGGCTGATCAAAATAAAGTAATGGAGGATATCCAGAACAAAATGATGAGCGTTGCGAAGGAGTTCAACCTCAAGAGATTTGTGGGAATCAATGCTGATCTTGAGAACAAGACTAATCCTCCCCTCTCTTCCCATTCGGGATCTCAGTCACATAGAGTATTGCCTGGAAGTACTACCCCTGATAGTTCAGAGGTGACTAACTTCGTACCGTTGACTGGTAGAAGCAGTGATATTAGAAATAAAGCAAAATTGGAAATTGAAAAGGCAAAGGTTGAACCCAAGCATATGAGGAAGAGGTCTCTGCCATCTATTAAAGAATAAAAAATCGAATATTTTATACTCTCGGGGTTTTGGGGTTTTGGGGTTTTGGGGTTTTGGGG